TGTTTTTAACATTAATCAACCTCTCTTTATCTCCTCTTCTTTCCACCCTTCCCAGCCTCTGGTAACCGCCAATCTACTCTCTCTATTCATAAGACCCACCTTTTTAGCTCCCATATATGAGTGAGAACATGTGATATTTGTCTTTTTATGCTTGGCTTATTTCACTTAATATTATGATGTCTAGCTGGTAAGAATGTGGAGAAAGGGAACCCTAGTGTACTGTTAGTGGGGATGTAAATTAGTACAGCCACTATGGCAAACGGCATGGAGGTTCCTCAAACAACTAAAAAGAGAACTCATACTTGAGCAATTCCATTACTAGGTCTGTATCCAAAAGAAAGCAATCAATGCATCAAAGAAGTCTCTTTGTGTTTGTTCAGCACCATTCACAATAGCCAAAATATGGAATCAACCTAAGTGTCCATCAATAGATGAATGAATTTTTAAAGTGTGGTATGAAACAGGGAACCACTAGGCAGCCATATAGTAAAGAAAATCTTGTCATTTGTAGCAACCTGGATGAGCCTAGAGAACATTATATTAAGTGAAATAAGCTAGGCACAGAGAGACAAATACTATGTAATCTCACTCAGGTGTGCAATCTTAAAAAGTTGATCTTATAGAAGTAGAGAGTGAGTGGTTGTCAGAGATAGCGGGTGGTTTGTCACCTGGTACAAAGTCAGAGTTAGAAAGGAGGAAGGAGTTTTAGTGTTCCACTGTACAAGACGGTGACTATAGTTAACAATAACATATTGTATATTTCAAAATAGCTAGAAGAGAGGAATTCAATGTTCTCACCAGATAGAAATGATAAATGTCTAAGGTGAGAGATATGCTAGTTTTTCTAATTTGATCACTATATATTGTATAGGTATATAGAAACATCATGCTGTACCCCACAAATATGTATAACTATGTGTCAATTAAAATTTTTTAAATTAAAAATTGTATACGGTGATTAAAATTTAGCCTTTTGCATCAAGTTCAACTATGACAACTTACTGTACATAATATATATACACATATATAATATTTCTATAAGAAACAATATGATATTTTCCTGAAATGTAATACTTACCTCTATCATACTCTTTTCCATGTTCTTGTGTTAGGATGCCAGTTTTATCTAGATATAGTTTCAGGTACATTCACAAATTTAGAACAGCTATTGTCTCCAAGCTTGAATGGTCTAAATCCTTGTTAAAAATTCCCTTTTCCTCAAAGAAAAGGGGCATAGGAGAGATTCCCCAAATCTCTAATTGTTTATAGCACTATTTAGCCAGAAATTTATAATTGAATTTTAAAAATATTTTTGAGGTTGTCAATGTAAGTACATAGTCAGAGAGTGAATGTTTATTTTCTGCTGTTTCTGACTCTTGGACACACTTACAAGTTAGATTCTTTTCAATTCTATCTGCCTATTTCTGAGTGGATAGAATAGTTTTATCAATCACAAAGCGCTAGTATCTCAGTGTACTTATAAAATGACAGAAAAATACGATTTACACTTACATTAAGAAAAAGATGTGTGTAAAAAGCAGCTAAATACCAACAGTAAACACTGAATATATAATAATATCGCTGCACAATCTGTGGCTCAGATACAGTGGCCTTTTGCCCCTGAATAAACTTGTGATGTGGTATATTATTCAATGAATATGAATATGCTTCTTGTTTAGCAGAATTTCTCTGAAATTGTTGCCAAACCATTTCCTCTTCAGGAAACAGATTCTTGATTTATGGAGTAATAACTTCCTTTTGTGCCTCTAATAAGAAATTCAAGAATCATGAATGTCACTTTGTTTTCTACCTGTCTTTAGAGAAAATGCAACCGTCAGATCTCTGTGGAGGCCGTGCACTTTGCCATCCCTGCTTGCTGTCCCTCTGGTCATGGGGACATGGTGCCTGCCCGATGTGGAAGGAGCAGTTGCCCATTTTATGCATGGCACAGCTCACTGCTGCACCGACATCTAGTACTGGTTTAAAAATAGCTGAGCGTAGCCTTTTTAGTGACTCTGTTTTGATATGGTCAGGCATGAAGGTCTCTGCCTAACAGAGCCACGAGGGCAGCGGGAATTCCCTAAAGCAGTCAAATCACTCCCTCTCTTCAGAATTTTCACTGAGGGATATGGAGGGGGATGACCCATCAGAAGTGGGAGAATGTCTACTGATGGGGAGAATCAGTGGTTACAGGAAATCCTGAGTGAAACGCAGAGAGAAATTGCTTTCTAGCACTGCCTTGCATCCTTTCATTTCTATGTGTATTTAGGTCATGAAAATACCCAAAGACATAATCTTAAGGGTCTCAATTATTTTCAGTGAGAAGGCCTTCATACAATCCCCAAACGAATTCCATTTTTTATGGCAAGGCTACTCCATGTGACTCACCGTAATTTACCTGGAACAAGAACTGACAGAAAATTGTATTGTGTCATGTCTGATGCAAAAGGGTTTACAAACATCCTTATAAAAGGAGACTTCTTCCTGAGAAGGCGGATGCAGGACCTCTTGTCTGTTAGACTGGGGCACAGTCACCTTAATGTGGGAGTTATAGGTAAGAGAAATTAGAGAGCAGCTTATTTTGGGAGCAAGGATAATAACAAGTTACTGTATTTTAAAAAGGTGTTGGAAACTTGCAGAAGCAAAGTGGAAAGAAGAACAATCCTAATGGGTAAAAACGAGTAAGTCTGACTGCCTCATTTGTAGTGAGACAATGAGGAAATGGGAATTCGTCAGAGGGTAACTGGGTGGCGCCTATAAAAGTGACGATGTGCTGATTCCCTAGCAGGCATTTGCTGGGAAACCTTCACAGATGTTACAAGGACAGTTGTAGAAAATGTCTGGCAGAGCACTGTTTGTAACTGTGGAAAACGTTTCATTCATACTTTGAATGTAAAGAATAAAAGTAAATGAAGAAATGGAAGCATCGCATCCTGCTTTTGGTTTACATTTCCCTGATCATTTAGTATAACCACTATGGAAAACTGTGGCGATTCCTTAAAGAACAGCTAAAAGTAGAACTACCATTTGATCCAGTAGTTCCACTACTGGGTGTCTAACCAGATGAAAAGAAGTCATTATACAAAAAAGATACTTGCACACGCATATTTATGGTAGCACAATTCACAACTGCAAAAATATGGAACCAGCCCAAATGCCCATCAATCAATGAGTTGATAAGGAAACTGTGGCTTTTATTCCACATATATATATGTGAAATGGCACTCACCATGATTCATTATATATATACATATATATATATATATATACACACATATATATATATATATATATATATATATATATATATACACATATATATATGTATGGAATGATGGAATACTACTCACCCATAAAAAGCAATCAATTAATGGTGTTCACAGTGCGGATGGGATTGGAGATTATTATTCTAAGTGAAGTAACTCAGGAATGGAAAACCAAACATTGTATGTTCTTACTCATAATGGGAGCTAAATTCCAAGGATGCAAAAGCATAAGAATGATATAATGGACTTGGACTCAGGGCATAGGGTGGGAGGGGGTGAGGAATCTAAGACTACAAATAGGGCTCAGTGTGTATACTGCTTGGGTGATGGGTGCACCAACATTTCACTAATCACCACTACATAACTTAGTCATGTAACCAAATACCACCCATTCCCCCAAAAACCTGTGGAAATAACATTTTTTAATGGAAGCATCCAAAATGTAATTTGTTTCCACATTCTTGTAAGCCTCATTACATGTCTCAGGGACGGTTAATGTCATCATACCAATTCACAGGTGAAGAAATGGAATCACAGAGAGTTTGTGTACTTTCCCTAAGGAGAGTGAGGGGTGAGGCAAATGCATTCTAGAGTTCTCACTTTTGCTCTATATTATTCCTGTAAATTTCTAACTTAAGACTGTATAGAAATGTAGAGTGAGACAGAACTAAAGCTCACTAGTCTTAGCCCACAGGGGAGTAGCGACTACCCAGGGGTTGGTAAGGGCTCAGTAAGATTTGTTGAAAGGCGAATCAATATTTCAATGCTGGGGCAAAGCAGTGAGAAACTGGGGAATGTCCAGGAACCAGCCACCAAGATAAGGCAGGACTAGGATGAATGCAACAGTCCTCACAGGTCCTCCAGGTCAACAAAGAGATCAGAAGCCAAGGGGGCTCTTGTTTGATCAAGGACCTTTTGTATACAGACCTGTAGCCTGTGGCATAGTCGATGCGTGAGTCACAGACAAACTACTTGAGAGTGGTTAATGGTAGCAGACAGGCATTTGGAGCTGGAGAGAAGGCCAATTCTCCTAAACTAGTATCGAATTGAGCAGGGAATTAAAGCTTCAAAAGTCTGAGCAGCAAAGCTGAGACCAGGCTCCTTGGGACAGGCTGTTCATATACATAATTGAGTTTCAGTGATGAGTCTCAGAAGGAAAACGTGTATGCATGCTTTCCTTAAAAATACATTCACTTATATTTAGAGAATCCTTCAGATATCTAAATATGTCTGCAAAACTTAGTCTCATTTATATGACATTATTTGGATAATAATATGAATAATTTCCAGTGGATTTACTTCCATGTGTCCTTCAAGGATACTCCATTTTATTTCATACTTGAAGACTGTTAATAAATCACTCTCTAGCTAAGTACAATTCAATGCTAAAGCACTTAGCTTATCTGACCTTCACATTAATTACTTTTATTACAGCACCAGGAACTTTCAGCTGCTTTTCCCCCTTCCTTATGAAGCCGTGTGGCCCTAAGGAGCCAAGGCTCCCTTACTACGCTTAAGGGAGGGCTTCTTAGACATGTGCATGTCTTCAAAGCTTTCCCTTGAATGTGCCAAATAACTCCAAGTTTCCTCAGCAGATTTAAGGGGCTTTAAATCTACTTGAGCATGGATGTTATGAGATGACCTTGAAATTCTTACAAAAACTGAAAGTGAAATGAGGAAGACAGATTGAGCAATCCAGTCGGAGGGCAAATGCCAGCAAACCTACTGTACAGTAGGGGTAGAGATGCAGAAAGGCAGAAAGAAGAAAATTCAGGAGAACCCTCCTGAGGGGTGAGCCAAGCCCTGCCATGTAGTGCACGCAGGACATCAACACACACAGATAACAGGAAATGACCCATTCCCTGTGGTCACTTATTCTAAAGGCCCCAACCTTCAAAGTTCAAGTAGTGATATGGATGACTCCACAGAAAGGGAGCAGTCACGCCTTACTTCTTGCCTTAAGAAAAGAGAAGAAATGAAACTGAAGGAGTGTATTTCCATCCTCCCACAGAAGGAAAGCCCCTCTGTCCGATCCTCCAAAGACGGAAAGCTTCTGGCTGCAACCTTGCTGCTGGCACTGCTGTCCTGCTGCCTCACGGTGGTGTCTTTCTACCAAGTGGCCGCCCTGCAAGGGGATCTGGCCAGCCTCCGGGCAAAGCTGCAGGGCCAGCACTCAGAGCAGCTGCCAGCAGGGGCAGGAGCCCCCAAGGCCACCCTGGAGGAAGCTCCAGCTGTCACCGCGAGACTGAAAGTGAGTTTGCAGCAGCTGCAAGCTGCAGGCACGATCCTGCCTCCACTGGCGCCTCTCCTTTGCCTCAGCTGTCTTCCTAATAACTTGGAGTTTTTCTCTTTCCAGATCTTCGAAGCACCAGTTCCAGGAGAAGGCAACCCCAGTGAGAGCAGCAGGAAGAAGCGTGCCGTTCAGGATCCAGAGGAAACAGGTATGCACTGGGCACAGACACTTTGAGGAGTCAGGGATAAAAAATCCAGTTTTGGGTATCTAGAGTTAAGTATCCCCTCTATGAACCTAGTAAATAGAAACTACGAAATTTACCATGCAAACCAGACATGGCTTTAGAGCAAATGTAATAGGCTGCATGGATGTGCTTTGTCCTCTAATGAGCAGATGGTGAAGTGGAAGCGTTTATCTGTGCATGTCTAAGTATTTATCTTTGCATTGAGCACAGGGGAGATCAAAGGGCCATCTGTGTTTCCTCAAGTAGGTGATGCATTCCCATGTGAGAAGCATTATTTGTCACTCCAGAAAAATGAAAAAAAGTACTGCATCCTAGAATTAGACTTTGCTTACCCGGGTAATAGAAAGTTACTTAAAGACGTCTGTTTTCTGAATGTGCATTGCCTGTTGTGAAACCAGGTAGAGGTTGTAATGAAAGGCCCTGTATGTTGTGCTTTAATTATGTTTCTTTTATAAAAGTTTATTTTACACACACACACACACACACACACACACACATACACACATACACACACACACACACACACTTTAAAGCTTTTAAGGAATGCTTTTCCAGGGCATCCATGCATTTATCATCTTCTTGTAATTGTCCTTTAGTGATTTCAGACTTCATGCTCTGCTCATTCCATAGAACTTTATGGAGTGGGTGGTGCCTACCAAAATGATCAATTCTAGTTCTTTCATTTGAAGGTGAAATAACAAATCTTTGTTTTATATTTATTAAAGTTATAATGCAACACATCCTTGATATTATTGTCCTTTTATTAAATATGTTGAAAGAACATTTTTTTAGTATCTGGAATGTATTGTACTGCTATAGACCAGAATAGGTATTTTTGAACATATTATTTCGTTTAACCTTCATAGTGACTCTATGAAGTCCACAGAATACATGCAATAATTTACATATATTATCACTTCTGAAGAGAATTGCATAAGAAATATAGAGAGAAATAGACCAGGGACCCTTCCATTACACACACACACATGTGCATGAGGTACCCTGACTACAAATTTATTTTTTGACTATATGATTTATTAATAAAAAAATATTTTTTATTTTATAAAACCATAATTTTTGGTATCTGGTTATTATATCTTTGTACCAGTTACCAGGAATAATTGGGTTTAAACATTTTTAAATTAAGAAAAACACACATATTTATTATTTTAACACATCAATTATTTTTCTAGTTTGCATTTTTTACTATATTTACTACATAATTGAAAATAATACAGAATATACACTATGACATATTTTTTGTTTTGACTTACACGGTAATAATTTTTCCTATTTCTAAGTATTTTTCTTATATCTGTATTAATTTACCTAACTATTGTTTAATATAGTTATTTCCATTTTCATTGCTGTAATACAACATGCAAAAGTTTTGTACTGAGCTCTTTTATTTCTGTGAAATTATATCTTCAATATAAAGTCCATATAGTGAAATATCTGAGCTAGGGAGAAGAAACCTCTTCATCACCCTTGCTTCCAACTGCCATATTGTTTTCAAAATGAGTTATAAATGCAGTCAAAAATGTGGTGTACCAGTTCTCCACATTCCTGCTAGCCTGTTATTCTTCAAATTTATTTTGGCTAGTTTAGTAGTTGTAAAACAATATCTCACATTTATTTTGATGTATTGCTTGTTTACTAATATGAATAAACTTTCTGCATATTTTGATTACTTATAATTTTTATTTTTTGCTAATTGTTATTGATAACTGTCTCCATTTGTCTGTCCTACATCTTCATAATTTTGGATAAATCTAATTAGTCATATTGATTTTTGATCAAAATTTTGAGGTAAATATTTTAATGGTTTTGCTGCTTTTTTTTTTTTTACTGGTACATTTTGCATTTCTCTATAGTATTGCAATAATCTTTTAAAATTTTCTCTAATATTAAAGCTAAAAATATATTTGCTCATGATTTCTTAAGTAGTTGACTCCCTGCCACTTGGACTTTTTCATAGTTTAGTGTTTTGTTTTAACTCATTAGTCCTTCTGGTGTTTATGTTAGTGAATCATTTCACATTGGCTTTAACTTCCCCCCTCTCTTTTCTCCTTTCAAACTGTTATCTCAACCAATTGTATTAAATTGTTCTTTTTAAATCCTTTGTGTTGAAAAGCTTACTTTGTTTTACTAAATTCCTCCTAAGAGTTGAATCTATTTGAGACTCTTTTTTATTGACTATTTTATTTTTATGCTGTAAAGATGCTTTTTAAGGTAATTAGTATTATAAGGGGCTTCAATAACTGGTATGACAGGATTCTTCAATCTCCTTAACTTTCACTGCTACCATCCCACTGTTTCTAAATATTAGTTTTAAAGATAAACTTTAGCTTTATGATTAAATAAAAGATGTAGACTCATTTCAGCTGATTTAAGAAGAAAAGAACAATAGAGCAAGAAATAAATAACTTCTTGGGTCACATTTTCTCAGAATTTTCCTATTAATACTTTTATGTATTTATATTTTAATAGCATCCAGGAATTGTATACTTATGAGAATCTTTCACCAAATAATTTGCAATTTGTAGATTCTAACAAAATGAAAAAAACATTTACCTAGATTTCCAAAGCCCAGAAGTAGTCACTATTATTATTTCATGGTTTGTCCTAGACTTTTTAATAAACATTAATACAGTGTGCATATAGGTATATATTGCACACATTTGAGCCTTGAACAACATACATTTTAACAACATGGATACACTTACAGGTCGGTTTTTTTTCAATAAAGCTATTGGAAAATTATTTTCAGATATTCAATAATTTGAAAAACTTGTGGAAGAACTGTGTAGCCTTGAAATGTTGAAAATATTAAGATTAATTAGCCATGGCATGAATGCATAAAATATATGTAGATACTAGTCTATTTTCTTATTACTATCATAAAATATACACAAAAGTTAAAATTTCTCAAAACATATGCATACAGACTGTACACTGAGCCATTAGTAGACTAGAGAAATGGAAACAAACACAAACGTGCAGCATTAAGTCATAACTGCATAAAATTAACTGCGGTACATACTGTACTACTGTAAAGATTAGAATATTTTCATAGCCACCTCCTGTTGCTATTGCATTGAGCTCAAGTGCTGTGAGTATCTTCTTAAAACACCGTGTGATGCTAATCATCTCTGCGTGAGCCGGTTCTGTCTCCAATAAATTGGATATTGCAGTAAAAACGATCTCTCGTGATTTGTGTATATGTTTTCATCTTGTTTAATAAACTTTGAATGACACCATGAGACCTATAGAAAGTGCCACTAATGATGCTGGAAATGTTCCCAAGAAGCAAAGAAGAGTCATGACATTATAGTTGACTCTTGAACAACACAGGTTTGAACTGTGAGGTTCCACTTATATGTGGATTTTCTTCCACTTCCCACCCGTGAGACAGCAGGAGCAACACTTACTTTTCCTCCTCCGCCTTAGCTTACTCAATGTGAAGAATGAAGACCTCTATAATGATCCACTTCCGCATAAGGAATAGTAAATGCATTTTCTCTTTCTTATAATTGTTTAAATAACATTTTCTTTTCTCTAGCTTACTTCATTGTAAGAATACAGTATATAATACATATAACTTGTATTATATGTATTGAGTTTTTGTTATCAGATAGGCTTCTGGTCAACAGTAGGCTGTTAGCAGTTAAGATTTTGTGAGTCAAAAGGTAACCACAAATTTTTGACTGCATGTGATCAGTGTCCCTAATTCCTGTATTGTTCAAGTATCAACTGTATTTGTTGATATGTACATATATATATATATATATATATATATATATATATAGAGAGAGAGAGAGAGAGAGAGAGAGAGAGAGAGAGTGTGTGTTATGTGTATATACTCATATAGGACACAGTATACATACTCAACATTCATAAATCCAAGGTGGAAGGTTTGAAGATAAGAATCTCAATGACAGGTAATGTCTACTATTCCTTGTTAGTAAAATTATTAAATTATTTTGAATGTTGTTCTAGATACCATTCCTTGGTGGAGGAAAAATTTACTTGGTTTAGCATATTCCAAAATTAATGTTTATGTTCTCAAGAAAATTGTTTGTAACACAAGGACTTTTTTTGGTAGGATTTTTTTTTTTTTTTTTTTTTTTTTGGCATTGAGAAAATTCTATGCAGCTTTCTTTGATTTTTGTTTTCATTTAAGTTCTGATTTATTTTCAATAGCACTCAAAAACCTTAGGTTGTCCTTTTTACTTTAAAGTGTTCATTTATAGTCATATTTATTAGTTGTCCACATGTTTTAGAACCATGTATTTTTATTGGAACTTCACACAAACTTCAGTTGAAGGAAGGGGAATTACTATCAGCCAGAGTGTCCTAATGATACTCTCTTCCAGGCATCTCATGGCTAAACACTGCTTTTACTTAATTTTAGAATTTAGTACTTTGGCTTTAGTTTTGTTTTTCTTAATTATTTTGTGTTTCAAACCAAAATCTCATTAAGCTTAATGTATTTCATAAGATCATTTTTTATTGTAGTATAATAAACAGAAATGTGGTGAAATCCAGGATTAAAAAATTGCCAAATAGCTCATATTAGCCAAAAATTCACTTTTAAGCCCATAATTGTGCTTGGAGATATTCCCAATTTAAAAAATAACTAAAACAATATGGCTTTGAAAAAATACATAGTAAGATTTACTTACTAATGGAATCATGGAGATCCACATTTTGAACATTACCTAAGTATAATTTTATTAATTTCAAGAACCGAAAGATAAATGTCTTTAGCATCTATCAAGAAAGTGAATTCTTTCAAATGGGTTATCACTGACCTAAAAAGTTTCCTTGTTAAAATTATGTAACCTTTGTATTTTCTTTCCTGTTAATTAATAGCTATTAGAAATTTATATGTTTTTGGTTACAGAAGGATAAAATTATTTTTATTTATAATGTTTATTATAATTGCCTCAATTATAATAATA